TAAAAAGCTCTGCTATGGAACAATTATCTTTATTCTTTTCATTGTGCCAAAAGGATGTTTATGGTCTTATATTCACAGTTCAATGAACATAAAATTTTACTAGCAGCTGATAACTTTATTTTTAGCTATGCATAGTACTGGAGAAAGGGGATTGTTTCTGTGATATTGTCATGTTTAGTGGGTAGGAGTTTGAAGGACTGAAGGTTTCCGACCAGATAATGCTAGCTGGCAAGTCATCCACGGCCCATAGACATCTCATTTGTGGGGTGGAATCTATGGTTGTCTTTAAAACTGTCTTCACATGCTATTGGACAACAAACAACAAGACACTAACCGCTACGGATGTCAGTCAAAGAGGAGTTCTGCCGTACACTGTTGGAAGAAGACACAAATAAATAATTTTTCTAATGAAAGGACTTAAATACCTCTATCTGCTCTTGACTCAAAGAGAGGCTCAAGTCTTTGTAGTCCAAAGTTGATGCCAAAGCTGTTTCAAATGAGTCACCATTTTAATTGTTCCTCTCTGTTGCATCATCCCACTCAACAAACCGACCAAGCGTTGTAATTGGCAAGACACTAGACTATTTGGGCCTGCTGAGGCTCCTATGAAGTGTGGCTAGACCGAAGTGCAGCACAAAATCATCTTGCTCCCGCTACCGTCTGTCTAGATTCATAGGCTAATAGATGACTATTTCCTTAGTTGAGAGTTTGTCTCTGTCTCATGCAAGAGTTTAAATATCTTAAGTGTCAATATTGCAAGTAATGAACAAAGTGGGAAGGGGTTTGCAGGAGTGAGGCTTCATCTTTAGTGAGTGTGATACTCTGCTCTGTTGAAGGTTACTACCCCTCTTTTACATGCGGGTTCTAAGTGTACCAAGCCAGGCTAAAACCCAACATCAGGAGATTATCACCTATAAATTTACTAGGGGGCGGAGTCACAAGAGGTAAAACAAGTACTAAAATGTTCTACTTCAGTAAAATACAAATACTCTGATGAAGTTTTACTCAAGTGCAAGTAAAAGCAGGGTTTAAAATACAGGGGAGCCCAGCTACCCTACAAAGGGCGATGGGCTCTCCTGGAAGCTCTCAACTTTATTATCCAGTTCCCCCACCCCTACCCCCGTGCACTCACAGAGTTTTAACATAACCTGTGTGTACTTTTGAGTTCTGAGTAAAAGTACCTGTCTAAAATTTTACAGATAAGTAAAAGTAGCTTAAATATGTCAAGTTGTGTTGTGAATGTCTAGAAGATATGGAGCATATGATGCACAGGGAAGAAGGACTATAGAGGTGAATCAGGGGCAAGACATTTTTAAAAACACAACCAACATAAAAAAACTCATAATAACCCAAAAAAGAAAATAATAATCAAAACACAAACTGTAACTTTTTGATTATTTGAATTAACAATTTAATTTCCTCTTGAGAACACCTATTCAGATGCATTTTTCAAACAACTTTGGGAAACTAGTTTTCAAGTGGCCTGTTCAAAACTATTTCTGATGTTACACCCAACAAAATAAAAGTTTCTAACCTTTATAAACAAACCTTTATAAACAATGGATGTAGCTTTAAACAAGGCATTCACAGGGCAATTCTGACTACACATTGATTTAACTTTTCATAGAAGTTTAGATGTAATTTGGACTCGTGATTTTCTTGGCATATGCTTTCAAATTGAAACAAAGACAGAGATTAACAAATCACCAAGGAGACTGCTAAGTAACATCAAACATGCCCTTGATGAAAAACAAAAGAGCCCGATCTGCATCACATATTTAGATTAAAAAAACAGTCCTACTTCTATAATCACTGCATATTTTACAGAGTGTTTACAACTTGTGGACAAACTGCAGAAAGAAGGGAACAGGTTGCCTGTCTCATATGTTTTGCAAATGAGTCTGGGCAGCGCTGATGTCGCTAGACTTGGGAAGTATTCCTGAAAAAGTAAACACGGCCCCAAACACCACTGTCTCTCAGAGGATTTGCTGTATCAGTGGGGGTTTGGGTGAGTGCAGTTTGTGGCTACAGCAATTATACTTTCAAATGGCAAAAATGTTGTACATCGCACCAGGCATTTTAATCCCTTACATGTTGAAATCTCTCCCCTCAATCCATTCATTGATCTTGGAAAATTAGGCTCAAGCATATGTATTTGCCATTCGGTCTCTATCGCTCAAGTTGGCTGAACATTTGTTTTCCTCGTTGTCACTGAGTCCCCCTGGAGCCATCTGCCACCTGTTCGGTTTCCGGGTGGGAAATGATTGCAAGGGAAAAAAGAGAGTTTTCTTTTTCTTTTTTTCCCCGTTTTCTTCGTCTTGCCTCTGGATTAGCAGTTAAACTTTGGTGACACATTACCCTACAGCTTACACTCTCAGTGCACCATGAACAAGAGAGAAACTTCACAGCAAACATGATTGATGACTGCAGAAAACCCACGGGGGTGATTGCTGGGCGTTTTCGACTTTATGTGCTTGATCTGAAACAAAAAATAAAACCCAATTGTGTGTATATATCAGTAAGATACATTTAGCCTTTTCCATTGGTCAGAAATGGACTTTCTTACATTTTACGTGTTTAAACACAGTTTTTAGTATTTCAGTGTATCAGACCATGTTTGGCCGAGTTTGGATTAACAGGTCAGTCATTACCATCGTATTTTATATGTTGAGGAAAATTATAAAATGTTCAGATATACGTTGACCAATGAGCTTCCCTTAAAACCTTGTAAAATTATTTTTCTACTTTTGCCATTAAAAAACACTAAATGCTGATTGTTCACATTTTACACTGAGTCTGTGCCATGAAACACTAGACTAAATGGCCTGTATTTGACATAGCACCTTCTAGAGTCCTGAATACCTCAAGGAGCTTTACAACACAACCAGTCATTCACTCATTCAAATGCTGGTGGGGATGAGCTACTGTGTAGCCACTGTTGCCACACTGACAACGGTGAGGCTGCTGAGCACTGGCGCCACTACCAACAGGCAAGGCGGGTTAAGTGTCTTGCCCAAGGACACAATGACAGCGACAAACTGAGCAGGGCTTGAACCTGCAACCTTCTGATTACAGGGTAAGCACTTAACTCCTGTGCCACTGTCACCCCAAAATAAGACTTAAGAGTGGTTTAATAAAATAGTCGAACAAACAGCTTGGAGAAGGCAACATCTTCATTCCCTACTGCACTGTTCGGTCTCTCACCAACTCTCTGAACAGCAGGGCTGTGCAGAGACCTTTGAAGGGGCGGGTGCTCAAATTTAAAAAGGGGCACACAAAATAATATTTTCAAACACCATGACATAACCACAGTATACTCGGCTGAATAACAATTCATATTTATTAGAAATTCAAAATGGAAGTGAATCATTATATACACCTTAAGGACAATGTAAAGCAAAAGTAACTTGTTTAGGTAAATGGTCTGTATTTGTATAATGCCTTCTTAGGGTTCTACAACCCCCCAAGGCACATTACAACACAATCAGTCATTCACACACATTAACACACTGATGGTGATGAGCTATGATGTAGCCATAGCTGCTCTGGAGCGCACTGACAGAGGTGAAGCTGCTGAGCACAGGCGCCACTAGTCCCTCCGACCACCACCAGCAGGCAAAGCAGGTTAATTGTCTTGCCCAAGGACACAACAGCATCAATCTCTGATTGAAGTCAGGATCAAACCTGCAACGTTCCGATTACTGGACAACCTGCTCCACCTCCTGATCTATTGCTGTCCTATTTTACCTGATGATGGGGTACACTAGCTGTTGCAGGGTTGCTCCTCTTGCTGCTGCTGATGATGCTGGAGGGCAAGGCTGTGTTGATCTCAGACTGTAGGCAGTAAAACGAACAGAGGAGAAATGTTAGTCAATTACAAAATTGGCAAAAATTGGTGAAAACTCTTAGAACTGTAAGACAGAAATATCTGAGACAACACCTGTGGTGAATAAATGGAAATCTAAACATTAGTGGATAATAGAGGAGTTTATGTCAGAGATAAGAATGTGACAGTAATATAAACAGAAAGAGTTGTGTGTCTTCAATCTCCTCATGTGATCTATCACTCTCCACTTGCTGTCCATCTGAGGACAAGGCAAAATTAGCTATTGTATCAATGAATTATGTAGTTATTCACATTTAACAGGTCTTGCACCTAATCCATGATCAAGAGGCTAACAAAAAACATTTTCTGGCATCAAAACATTGCAGTTGTGTATATTATTGTTTCTACACTTGTTGCTGTGATGCAACTTACCTGTACTCTTTTTTTTTATCCAGCTGGTGAGGGACCCACTGCCTTTAGCTGCCTCACATAGCTCTTTCTGTCGCTGCTTCCGCCTCCTGTCCTTACGAAGCATGTCTGTACAATGATATATCATAATTAATTTACAAATATGTTTTCATGCATATAAAACTCATGCATACACATTCTGGGACATTTCATTCCTTTTCCAGAAAACTAACTGTATATAATTTGGCCACAAATTAGCTTCATGATGCTGATCCAGAATATTTCCATAATATTTTAATCATAGTGCTTTAGTAATTATAATAAAAATAAAGAATAAAACAATGTTTATGCTTTCATTCAGTTTTACTATCTACTTTGTGCAAAACAGAGAACTGTACAGATAAAATAATTTTGCTGTGAAAACAGTAGTTTTTTTTTAAATGCACATCTTTAAAACATAATGTTTTTAATACAATGCATTCAAAAAGAGAGCGAATATAAACTCCAAATTTTGAGAATATGCATAGTATTAGTGAACTAAAAAACCCACCAGAAGGGCTGAGAAACCTTAAAATCTAAAACAAAACTATGTTCCCTAAAACGCTGGACAGAATTAACAGACAAGGACTGAATATTTAGTAACACAAAACTTGTGACGGATGTTACCTTTAGTATTTTTTTTATTTCCTTTCACAAAAGGTAGCTAAATTTTAAATTTGTTCAAGTTTTATTAGTCCGCGAACCAGGAAGTGATTTTGTAAACAAGAAGCAGGGCTGTGTGAGACCCTAGTCACGTGACACGCAGCAGCGATAGGAATGCAACTTTGCGGTACCTAGTTAACAACAATGACATTTTATTGGCAAATTCCCAATATTTAAGATTGAAAAAATATTTTCGTACAAGTACTTATGTACAGAATGTTTTTGGTTAATCCTAAAGTTACTGAGGTTCAGAATCGGTACCCAGCCACAGACACACACCCAGCTAGTAATATATCACACACACCTAGTGCCACAAAACAACTTAATAATGTACAAAATAATCTAATAACTGTGTATAGTAGTGTGCATCCTACTTACCGGTGTTAGTCCGTTTCTCCCAATCAATATGTATGTCCTAAAAGCTCTGCACCACTCGCTCGGCCATGAAGCAAATGTGGGCGCTTGCTTGCAGCTTGTTGTGACCGGCTGTGCGCTCTGGCGTGAGGAAGAGACGGAATGGTCACGTGACGGCATGGTCACGTGACTCACGCCAGCCATATAACATTATTAAACCGAAATTTTATTAATTATTATTTTTGTTATTCTTGAGGGGCACAAACAGAAAATTCTTAAAAAAATAAAATAAAATAAAATAAATAAATATATATAAAAAATCATTAAACCTCAAAAAGGGCACTTTGGGCACATGGGAGAAAAGGGGCAGGGTCTCAAGCACCCTCCGCCCCCCCCTCTGCACGTGCCTGCTGAACAGTCACCATTTTTTCTCCTAAACGTCTTTTAAAAGAGCATCAATCATGAGCACATAATTCTTACGGATCGTTACAAATTTCTGTAATGTTTTCAATTTATTTTTCTGATGTTTAATGTTTCATAATAATTCCTATTATTTGTATATATTCCTAAGTTTTTTGATCAATTGTAAAGATTTATTATGTCTCGAAGCAGAGTGAATGTCTAAACCGCATCATTTGGAATTTTCAAAAATTACATAAAAGTTATTTTTGTCAAACTATTCCAACAGATTATTGTACAAAAATATATGCACGATTTGCACATAGACGCCACTAAATTACCCAGAGTTAAATGGATACAAATCTGCTGCACATGTGTTTCAAGAATGTCCTGCCTGAGACACTCCCACATCTACCAGGTTGGCAAGCAGAGTTCAAAAATTTTTTGCAAACACTGATGTTTGGTAAATAGTCCAAAATCATTACCTTTTACAAATAAATGTGCAAAACAATGTTCAGGCTAAATGATTGAGATATACCCTCAAAGCAATGTAACCTTAACCCTCCCACTGTCTTTATGGGTGACTCCGAAAAAAAAGTTGACCATTGAGAAGGATGGATGGTTTATCCCTTGAGGTCCACGTGGCAGATGGTGAGGTGGTGCTCACTCCTCACCCCCTGACACATGGATCTCAAGGGATAAACCATCCATCCTGCTCAATGGTCAACTTTCTTTGCGAAGTCACCCATGAAGACAGTGGGAGGGTAAAGAAATGTTTTTCTTGATGTGCTGAGGTAGAACTTTTACCAAGATCAGTTACATGTTCTGCCATATCAGAATGAACAGTAGTGGGACATTTTTCACGCTCCCCAGTCAGTCCCTTTGTGGTTGCCAACCTGAAGTGGCTTTTTGCACATATACTCCAAATGGAGAAAAATAAAGACCCACGTGGTTGACAGTTCTTGAGAGTTTAGTCAGCTTTACACTGAACAAAGGTCCAAGGTTGTATTTAATGGAACATTGTCAAACCTCTTCATTTGTTGTTAGAATCAAGAAGTGGCCATTTACACTCAAACTGCTGATTTCTCTCATTGTTGTGCTTGGAATTAGGCTCCATTAGTGTTGGTTGGATAAAAAGTGCAGTTGAGTTGTATTTTTCTGGTCGTAAATGTATCAACAATTACTTGTAACTTCTTCTTCAATGGCTTTAGTGTTGGTTATTCAAGCCTAAAATACATATAGAGTACAATGTTCACCACAGCTTGGCCAATGGGCTCCAGCCATGATCTGTTTTAGAGCTCACTGCATTATCTCTGGTCCTCACTCAGATGGGTTTTTTTTTCTCAGTCTGCAGCTATTAGGTGTAGGTAGTAATTGTTCAGTTTATGAAAAACTGTTAAAATTGTGATAGCTGAAAATCCAATTTTTTTATTATTACTTCTGAGAATCGGTCACTGAGTTTTTCATGCAAACTGAACATGGAAATTGTCTTCATGTTTCTCCTGCATTAGATCCTGATAGAAAATATATGGTGAAACATTAGGATTTGAAAGACTTCCAAATCTACATCACACTGTCACTTAACATTCATGTGCCCACCATCGACATATATACTGGAAAATTAATTTCCATAGGCTCCAACATCACTTTTTTGAGGCCAAATGGGAGGTGGCCACCACCGCCATTTTGACCGTGTCACAGGTTCCATCAAGCCCAGACAATTCCAAAAAAGGGAAGAGAGGTGGAGCTGAGGGTGGGGCTGTAAGGCTGGGATCGACTGACGACACCCGGTCGAACTAGCTACAAGCTAACCTGAAGCTAACCCAAAGCTAATCCGGAGGTGGGAGCTAAGTTAACGGAGATAGCAACCTAGCTACCACCGGAGTTAACTGTGCACCACACCAGAGCTTCTGAGTCAGAGATACGCCGGGCTGACCGCTGGGTAAAACCGTGTGGAACACAGAGGTCTCCCGAGACCTCCACAAGCCGGCAGCCGCACAGCACACAGAAGCCGCGATCAGACAGATGTGCCAAGCTGCTGGGAGAACCAGCCGTCAGCCTGCGCAGCTATCAGGAGCCGCAATCAGACAGAGATGGTCCTGGCTGCTGGGAGAAACAGCCGGCATTCCGGGTGGAAAACATCGGTCTCCTGAGAGCTCCACAAGCCGATAGTCAGAACCCAGCTCCACCAACATGTTACATTTCAACCCATTTTCTAAAGTGCAGCATTATGTTAAATGCACTGGGGTTTACCCTATTACATTTAAATTTCATAGTTAAACAGTACATGTTAAAATCTAAGCTCAGCTCGGCAGTGGCCTAAAATACATAAATATAATTTTACTTACCGAATAAAATGAAGTGGAGACTCCTTGGACGCTCTATTAGAGTAATTAATGCCACAGCAAGTCATTTTGTCCAACAATTTCACAAATAATATCCAAAAAAGAATACACACACACAGAGACTAAAAATCCCGGAGCAGTTTCCAAGCCAGACCGAGGCTCAGACTGAGGCCTTTCCACGGAGCTAGCTCTGTGGTCACGTGGGTCTGATGCTCATTAATTATACAGAATTTTAGGCTTTTAATACACTTAAACAGAAGAGTGAGAAAAAAATTCACCCCCCTCAGAGTTGTCATGAGTATAAACTAGATCATTTAAACAAAAAACATGTTTTGGAACCAGGCTGTAAACATGTTTATTTCTGCTGTGAAATTTGTATTTTTAACATGGGAGTCAATGAGGATTTGCTCGCTTCTGACACCAGCCCCCAGCGGATGAGGGTGGAACTGCAATTTTTGGTACTTCCGGGTTTGACTCAATTTTAGAGCCGCATTGTGGGGGCTTGGTGCCCACCCATCTTGGTTCACAATGAGAAAGACTGTTATTGGTTTAGCACCCATGAAACAGTAGGGAACATCTCCGCTAGTAGAAGTGAACTGTTAGCATTTAGCAACTACACGAAACAGCAGAACACCTCCAGGCGTGTGTTATTTGTCAAGATAAAACACTCATGTCATAGAGCAAACAGAGTCAGTGGTAGTCATGTTGCCGTTAGCCAGTCTGAGGTGAGAAATATCATGAAATAAGACCCCAAATCCTTTTGTCTGAAGCTACTTTCTCCTTCAGCTGATTTGTACTTCCTGAAACAAGTGCATCTGAGCATTTCATCCACCAAGAAGGACTTAAAAGGAATTCCTTCCTACTAGGAAAGACTGCAAATGATCCACATCTTTAAAATATATTTAGCCACAAAATATTTGGAAGCGCCTTTTTGATAGAGTTCTTTTTATCCACTGGTACTCAGTAGTATATGCTAGTAGTATTTGCTAGGGATGCCACTAGACAGTGATAATGTGCCAAGGACTTTCCTGTCAACCACATTGATTTTGGAGACAGAGGTGCATTGTTTAACAGAACACCTGCTAAGAAAAACTCTGCAGTTCAGATTGGACCAGACAGGATGTCAAACACGAAAGCAGTATTAAACATCTGGAGACTGTCAAAAATAAAAGTGACATGCAGATTTCCAGTTGCTTAAATGCTGAATATGGAACACAGACACCATGGAGACATCTAGAGTTTAGAGATGGTAGCTGCAACAACAGAAAACATTTTCCAGCTTTCAGGGTGTTGGTTCACTGCTGACACATTAATTGACCAGCCAGCACAATGTCCAGTGAGAAATCATACAGGGTAAGAACTACTTTCTACTAGTAAGTTTGTTTTACAAGTATTTGCTGTTAAAATATCGCCTGGGCTTAGAATCAGCTGCTTGACTTGTCAAGTCCGCCATTTTACACAGTCCCATCCTCACCTTACCAAACTGATTTTTAAGCTCAACGGTTTCCCCTGGTGGCCGGTAAATGTAAACATAAACCCAGTGTCGTGCCCAGACAAGTTAAAACTTGATTAAGTTCTTTTTTTTAATAAAGCTTTCGTGGGAAAAACTGTACATTCATTCTGCACAACTCTAAACGCCCCATGGAGGTATTTTTTAAAAATATATAACTTTTTCTTAAAATACTCCATATTCCACCTTTAGCTAGTAAAAACATACGTTATTTCCTATGAAACCCCAATAGCTGAGGTAAACAGAAGAGAAAATAAACTACAAACCTTTCTGGATACATGCAGTCTTCTTTCTCCTTGCGTGTTATCATGTAAACACCCAAAATCATGTGTGGTGTTGCAGTTCTCCCATGAAGAAGAAGAAGAAAATGTCATTTCTATAGCGCCTCTCCAGATAAAAATCACGAGGCGCCATGATCTCTGGGGCCTCACCTGAGCAGCTGTGTGGTACACTTTTGCTCCCATTTCTCGTGTGAATTGCTTTTGGTTGGGAGAAAGCTCACAGGCAAACCGCCTCTATAATGTTATACACTGCTCACACGTCCCGTAGAAACGAGGGGTTAGAGGCAAAGTTGCAACATGCAACCAGCCTAGTGGTAGTGTGTCCGCCCCAAGACTGAGAGATCAGAGTTTGATTCCTGGTCGGGTCATACCAAAGAGTTTGAAAAAAATGGAACAAAATGCCTCCCTGCTTGATACTCATCAGTAAAGGGTTGGTTTGGGGGGTAAACCACCAAATGGTTCCCAAGCGTGGTTGTGTCTGCAGGTCACTGCTGCCCCAGGGGATGGGCGGTTAACAAATTTCGCACACACTTCAGTGTGTGTGACAACTGATTGGACTTAAATCTTTAATCTGGTTCGATTAATCTGTGAGCTCTAACATT